ACACACTTGGGTTTATCTAATGAAAACAAAGGGTGAAGCTAGGCAAATTTTGTTAGATATGCCGGCTTTCGTTAATACTCAATTTTCATAAAAAATAAGAACAATTAGAACAGATAATGGCCAAGAATTTAATATTCCATCTTTCTATAGTACGTTTGGTATTATTCATCAAACGACTTGTGTAGCTTCCTCTCAACAAAATGGTCGTGTTGAGAGGAAACACCAACATATATTGGATGTTGCTCGTGTTCTTATGTTTCAAGCCTCTTTACCAATCTCATTCTGGGGACTTGCCATTCTACATTCTGTCTTCTTGATTAATAGAATGCCATCTCCACTTTTACAGAATCTATCCCCTTATGAATTACTTTTCCAAACTAAACCAGCATATAGAGAATTCAAGGTTTTTGGTTGTCTGGTGTTTGCTTCAACATTGCAGCATAACAGACCAAAATTTGCTCCTAGAGCTGACCCTTGTGTTTTCTTGGGATTTCAAAACACTATCAAAGGGTATAGACTTTATAACCTAGTCTCTCACAATATTTTTTACTCAAGAGATACTGTTTTTCATGAGCATGTTTTTCCTTTTGCTAATTCTACATCCACAAGTGAATTTGATTTCTGTTTTCCTTGTATTCAAGTTCAGGAAACAGTAGTACACCATAGTTCTTCTAACTCACAGTCTCCAGTTGACTATATTCCTTCTTTGCCTCATTCTGAGAGACACTTAGATTCCTCTTTACCTCCACCTGAGGAACCTCTATATCTGGTTGACATCATTCAAGCAGTAGAACCACCACCATATGCGAGGCCTCCTCGTGTCAATGTGCGTCCTAAAAAGCTAGATGATTACATATGTGCTGTAGACTGTGATAGTGTTTCATTTCCTTTATCTAAGGTCATGACTTTTGATAATTTAAGTTCAGAATACAAGAAATACATTCTGGCCAGTTCTACTATTTTAGAACCTAGATCCTACAAAGAAGCCATTAAGGATCCTAGGTGGTCAGAAGCTTGTAACTCTGAATTAGCCTCTTTAGATAAAACTAACACATGGACTATTGTGGAATTTCCTATTGGTAAGATTGCCATAGGAAACATGTGGGTTTTCAAAGTTAAATTTATTTCCAATGGTGACATAGAAAGGTTTAAATCTCATATAGTAGCAAAGGGGTACACTCAAACTCCTGGCCTAGACTATTTAGAAACCTTTGCCCCAATTGTTAAACACACCACTGTTCGACTTGTTTTGTCATTAGCTGCCATTAACAACTGGCACTTGCATCAACTTGATGTTAATACAGCATTTCTTCATGGAGACCTTGATGAAGAGGTCTACATGAAGATCCCTCCAGGTCTGGTAGTACCTCCTGGGTTTAAAAATCCTGTATGTCGTCTTAACAAGTCAATTTATGGGGTTAAAACAAGCAAGTCGTCAATGCAATATTAAACTGTCCAATTTTTTAACTTCAGCTGGTTACAAACAGTCCAAAGCAGACTACTCTATGTTTGTTCGTAGCCATGATAAGTCTTTTACCATTGCAATTGTGCATGTTGACGATATTATTTTGGCAGGAAATGATCTCAAAGCCATTACTGATCTTAAACAACAACTAGATCAGACTTTCACAATCAAGGATCTTGGAGAGTTAAAATTCTTCATTGGTCTTGAAATTGCTAGGACTGATAAGGGTATTTTGTTATATCAAAGAAAATTTGCATTAGATTTGTTAACCGATTATGGCTTTCTCAGTGCAGAACCATGTGACTCTCCTTCTGTTCCAGGTACCAAGCTATCTGTTACATCTGGTAATGTCCTTTCTGACCCTTCTGTCTATAAGCGATTGGTCGGAAGACTCCTTTATCTGCAATACACGTCCTGAAATAGCTTATTCGGTTCATCAATTAAGTCAGTTTACGCACAGTCCCACTGACCTGCATATGCAAGCTGCTGAACGCGTTCTGTGTTACATCAAAGGCACTGCAAGTCAAGGACTCTTCTTCTCTACTACTTTTGAACTTAAATTGAAAGCCTTTTGTGACAGTGATTGGGCTGGTTGTCCAGACACACGTAGGTCTACAACAGGATTTTGTGTACTGTCAGGGAATTCATTGATTAGTTGGCGATCAAAGAAACAGAAAACTGTTTCTCGTTCTTCAGCTGAAGCTGAATATAGAGAGATGGCAAGTTTAACCTGTGAAATAATGTGGCTCAGATTTGTTCTGAATGATTTGCAGATTTGTTTCTCTTCTCCTACTCCCATATATTGCGACAGTATGTCTGCTATCAAACTTGTTGATAATCCAGTCAATCATGAACATACAAAACATATAGAAATTGACTGTCATGTTATTAGGGATAGAATCCTAGATGGAGTGATTAAAGTGTTACATGTTTCTTCTGCTAACCAACTTGCAGACATGTTTACAAAGTCGCTTCCAGTTCATGTTTTTCATCAGTTGCAGGCCAAGCTGGGTCGTCTTGATATATATGCACCATCTTGCGGGGGGAGTTGTCCAAGGAGGAAACGACGAGGACTTAGATGTAGATATTACTTAGTTCATAGGTGATGTTGTAAAATATGTTTACTTTAAGTATTGTATTGTATAGGTAGTTTGTATTATATAAGGATAATGTAACTTTTCTTTTCCAATTAATGAAAATCTGCCTGAAGGCTTCTCTAAACGACACACCTTGTAATATTCTTCACCACTATTTATAAGTACCATGTCCCAAAGCCCGGTGAATTCAAATTCTATGTAGTGTTTTCTTACTCAAAATATGCGGTACCCAAAATTTACCTTGAGTACTATAGTGACAAGTCCATAATAGGATTTTACTTCTTTTCTTTACACTATGTAATTACGATCAACTGAAATCAATAATCACAAAAATAAGATAGAGACGAGAAAGTATACATTCATTTTTCCATTATATATATAGTTGTATTATCTACGTAGCTTTCGGATCAAAACTTGTTATCGATGACCCAACTCATTCCTTTAATTCTCATTTCAAGTGAACTGTGTAGGCATGACAAATAATGGACGGGTTAGACACCTAACATAAACAATTCCACGACCAAACAACAAAAGCAAAACTGACCCCAAAATAAAATAAAAAAACAAAGCAAAGCTGCTATGCTAGTAGGCAGTAGCACATTCCTAGTCAAGTTGACAGAAACTGCAGCTGTAATTAAGCATATCTCCCCTTCCTGATTAACTAAATTAGTGTCGGGTATTGATGCTCTCAAGTCTCAAGTCTCTAGACACAACTCCGATTAATTAGGGAAGACACGCATTAATCATAATAATAATGGGCTTTCTAATCATAGGTCCACAGCATAGAAAAGTCATAACTTCAATTCCAAACCACGTTCAAGTGCAACTAGGCCGAGCAATTAATTTTGTTCTCATCTTAATATTGTCTAATTGGCTAGCCAGCCAGCCCCCAATTACCACCCGTACAGTACTGCGCGCACACTGTTTTATTCCATCCAAGTATTAGACTATGAAAAACTATTAATTAAATATGAAACCCAAAAAACAATGGCGAACAGGGGCATATCCTGAATTTTATCTAAAAGGATGCATTAAAATAATTTTTGAACAATTACCCATGATGCGATCTCACGTTTCATTAAAGAAAATTTTATGTTAACATGTTTATTGACAAAAAGTATTAGCAAACTAAACCTAATTGCACAAGCAAATACATCGATAAGAATAATTTTTCTCTTCCGACTATTATTATCGTAGAAAGTTAATGATTTTTCTCTTAATATATGTACCTCTTATCCATTTTGATATCAACCTAGTTAAGAATGCGTGTGTAGTAGTCGACCGATATCAACCTAGTTAAGATGTTATCGATTTCCTATTGTATTTCCAGTTTAAACCGAAACCAAAACCAAAACAAGTAAAATGCCAAATGATTCTACAAACTGCTACCAAAATCAATAAACTTCTTAAATGATTCTAAAACTGCAACCCAAATCAATAAACTTCTTATCGGTTTGGTTTCGGTCAAACCTGAAAAAACCAAAACAAAAGTCACAGCCCACTATAGGTGGGCATATATATACCACATGAGATTAGGACTGGACAACAATGGCTTTGTTGGCTTACTGTCAGCAGTAACGTGGGAGCTTGTCGTTGATTTGTCTCCCCTCGTGTAAAATACTCGTACTGCGGCAGACTGCAGCGCTCTGCTGCTAAAGCTTTTAACCATTGCCGCGCCCGCATCTCTCTATTAGTGTTGCGCATCTAACAACATTACAGCCTAACATCGTGCTACTAAATATCTAATCATTAATTAGATGCTCTGATAATATCATTGTACCACAACGGCATCCCAGAAAGCTTACCTCAACTCGATCACCTTCCTTTACTAATTTTTCATGTCCTTAGATAATTTCTTAGGGAAAAAATAAGGCTTGTCTAGTTGTCGATCGTCACAGCCTTGCATGTCTAATCGATTCGGTCCCGACCATTCTACCGTGCAGCTCAACTGGGGAATCAATAATTTTCTTTGTTGTTCGACGTTGATGTACTATGGGTGGCAGGTTTTATGTTTATCGTAAAGAAATTCGTCACAACAACAAATATCGACGAACACTTGACAAGTCCGTAAGGAGCGATTTAGATATACAAAATAATTCTCCCAAAATAGTCCGTCCCGATAAATCTGATTCAACAAAATCTACCCATTATTTCAATAATTTGCCACTAATGAACCTTTAATAATGGTGGAACTAAAATGCTAATATAGCAGTCAAATTATTATCCCTCAATCATGTGTCAAATCATTTTTGTGATAGAAGTTATTACTTCTTGCTTAATTTATTGAACCCAATCCTAGTTTATAGTATTTACTCAATTATTTAAACTCAGCTTTGATAATAATGAAATTTTATTTTAAACTCACCCATTTGGATTTGGACCTTCCTTGTCACCTTGTCTTCCCCCTATATATTAGCACACCAGAAAAACCCACAACTCAATTCATTCACCATTACAACACTCTCTGCAACACCAAATAATAATATAAAAAAGCTCCCATCTCCAAACAAAACAAAAAAACCACCACCATGGCTTGTAATTGGTCCGCCGAGAACGCCACAAACGCCTTCCTGAAAACCCTGAAAATGGTCAAAGAGCAGGGCCGTCAACGATCCAAAGAGCCGGAATCGGCCGAGTTCATCTCCGCGCTAGCGGCAGGGAACAACTCCCAGCTCATCGTCGTCGCCTCCGCCGCCCCCACCGCCGCCACGTCATCCATGCTCTCCGCCCTGGTGACGGCGGCCCACCAGACGGGCGGCCGGGTGGTCTGCATCCACCGGGCCCAGCACGAGACGGAGCTGGCGAGGCGGGCCCTGGGCCCGCGGTCGCGGCAGGTGGGCTTCGTGACGGGGGAGGCCCACGAGCTGCTGCTTTCGGCCCACGCGGACTTCGTGCTCATCGACTGCCACCTGGACAACCACGAGGGGATCCTGGGGGCCGTCCAGCAGCAGGCTGGGAGTAACCAAAACGGCGCCGTTGTGGTGGGTTACAACGCGCTTGGGAGCGGGTCGTGGGGATCTGCCGCCGGCGGGCGGTGGAGGACCCAGTTGCTGCCGATCGGGGAAGGGCTGCTGGTGACCCGGATGGCGCCGCCGGCGAGGAATAAGAAGAGCCGGTGGGTGGTGAAGGTAGATAAATGTACCGGGGAGGAGCACGTGTTTAGGATCCGATCACCACAAGGGAAGATTGGAGCCTAGAAAGACTGGCGCCATTTATTAATTAGCAAGTTAATTGCTCGTTGACAAAGTTTTGTTGGCCAATGTAAGCTGTAAATACTAGAATATATTATTAAGTATTCGTTAGTCCATGTGGAAATGGGATCTCTGGAAAAAAAAAATCAGTTTGCAAGATTTAAATCTTTTTCGTCCCGTGTGCAAACCACTAGCAACTAGGGTTTTGAAGAACGTAAAAATGTATTGATCACTTGTTCGCAAGGTTGTCAAATCAGTTTTACTCGTCAAACTGTGTGATTTGAAATTTAATGATTTGATCGAGAATTTTTAAGGACTACAATTTTTACTAGGAGAGAATTTTCAAAAAATGAATTATTTATGGATATAAGGGGTTTTGGGAATAACTTTACCTTCCTTTTCAGGAATCCAAGTACATTCCGAAAATATGTCTATGATAAAAATTGTAGTCCTTAAAAAGTTATGCGAAATCAAAAAAAATTTCATGATTTTCGGATTGTGGAGCACAAAGTTATGGTCGTTCAAAGTTTGACGAAATCGAAAAAAGGCTCGTTCGGGGTAGCAAACGATATATTTTCGAGACGAAGGCGGGACCAAAATGCCTACGGCAATTTGCGGCTTGCAAGATCTCGAAAAATTATGCGGAATCAAAAAAAAATTCGCTACGATCGGATAACCGAGCACAAAGTTACGTTTGTTTAAAGTTTCGACGCAGGTCAGGCCTTCACCGCGGCCGTGTACTGCAATCACTGTCTTCGTCGACAGCGGTGATGCAATCACTGTCTTTGTCGACAGCGGTGATGGCCCAAACATGCGTAGATTGAGAATTATTATAACATGTGTATTTTGATAATTTTTTTTAAAAACATGTGTAACTTGAGATTTTTTTCCTCTAAATTCAGCCACACCCAGTTTCACAATAATAAATCATGCTTGCTCTATGATTTGCTTTGATAAGCTATGATGTTGATTATGGTCATTTCTGTCCCTTTACTCTCATAACTTTCAAATACTCACTGCTCACAAGTGTCAGACAACAGACTGTTTCTACAGCCTGGTTGCAGAGCCCATTAATGGACATATCAGTCAATTCCATTGATGATGATGATCATGATGGCATGGCTTAAGAGGGCCTCAGTCACGGTCAGTTAGGCCCAGCTGAAAATACCACTTTGTCAGTTTGGCCAATGGTTGAGGAAGTTCAAAACTTCAAGTCTAACATTATCACTATGTTTGGCAACAAGGGGGGTGCAAGTTCGAGGGGGTACAAGTTGAGGGGTAAATTGTTGGGGGGTGCAACTTAGTGGAGGGGTAAATTGTTGTTTGGATGAAAAAAGTAGGGGGTGCAAATAGAGTAAAAAGTAAGTAATTATATTATTATAAAATAGATTTATCAATTTATAAAATATTATCACAAAATAATAACATGAAAATTCAATATATAATAATAAAAATAATTAATAAAAATAATTTTAATAAAAATAATTATTATATAATAATGCTCAAATATAATTATTTATAACAACAATAATAATCATTGGTCGAGCAACCTCGAAACTCGAAATCCAACTCGTAACTGGTCATCCTAAGGGGGTTCTCGTGCCTAACTTTAAATTGAATATGGTCAAACTTAGTCAAACACGTTCGAATCTGTAAGTTTTAACTACTTATTAAAGTAAATCGAGTTAACTAAACTGTTCCTCTCTATCTTTTCAACAAATGCTTCTTATCTCTAATTTTCAATGCAAATTCGGGTCAACTAAGAGATATCGATTTGACGAGGCGAACATTGACAAACTTGCTCTCTTAGTCAAACGGTCAACCCCAAACAACTTCTACACTAATATAGATATAAGAAAAAATTAATAATATTAATTATTATGTAATTATAATCTAATTAAAAATTCATAATTCCCCTCCTCCTCCTTCCCCCTCCCTTCCTTCCTTTCCTTGCACCCCAATTTGGGGGGTAAGCCGAAACAGTGAATTTACTCTCACGTTTTGCACCCCCCTACTGTTACAAAATAACCAAACGGGGGTAAACACTTTGGAACTTGTGTTTACCCCTCCAAACTTGCACCCCCTTCCATTTGCACCCCTTCCCAAACATAGTGTATGTTTCCGAAGGAAGGGAGGAAATGGAGGGGAGGTGAAAAAAAAATTGGGAGGGGAGATTTGGAAGTGAAGAGAATTGGGAGGAAAATGTTGTTTTATGGAGGAAAGTGGGAAGGAAAGTGTGTATTGAGAAGTGCGAGGAATATTTTATTTTATTGGTTATTTAATAGTAAAATAAAGTAGATGATTTGAATTTTTTTTGTTAATTTATTGTTAAAAATCAAAAGTAAACGTGAAAAGAGCTTAATCTATTTTTTTGTGAAGCTATGTTGCAATTCATGCATTCAAATTAAAAAAAAAACTAACACAATATCATTTTTTAAAAATACATAGTTATTTCCTAAATCCATAATTCCCACGTTAAAATAAGAACAAAATTTTCACAAGAAAACGAAAATGGAAAAAGGGAATTAAATACTCATTTCCATCTCCATTAATAGAGACTAGCTTAAAAGAGAAAAAAATATTGAAAAGTGTGATCAATATGTTATTTTATTAGTAATGTAAGAGTAACTATGTTTAAAATATATTTTGTATTAAAAATTATGTAGAAGTGGATATAATGAAGACCTATTTCTCCATGACTTTGATCATAACCATTTTCATTATTTTTAGCGGAACATGTCTCGTTCATTTTAACTTGATTAATATTTTCCCCATAAAAGTTGGATTACATTTGTTGTACAAGATAACATCCGTTCTATAAATATCACACTCTAATGTTGTTTTACTAGAAACGTACCACACTTTTATGTCTCGCGTAATAATTTTATATATCACGTAAACAACATTATTCGTGATGTAAATCAATGTTGTGTTTGGTTCAGAGGTATGTTCGATATATTTTCACCGCGGTTTCACTATAAAATTTTCTACCGCAAACTTTTTCGATACAACATTCGATAAGCTTTCACAATTTCTAAAAAAAATTTGATAGTTTACATAGGTAAAGAGGTTGGGTTCTTTTTATGGGACGGTAAAGAAATTGGATTTAATTACAACTCATGATTATATTTAGTTATTTACACTTAGCCATAATTATCTTCTAAAAATCCTTCCACCCTTACCTTAAAAAAATAAATAATTGCCAACTTATTTAATCAATTACATAAAAGGGTATTAAACCCCCATAAATTGGATGCAGATGATGGGACAGATGATGGGAGGCTTTCTCTCCCTTTTCTCTCCGAAACCAAGGGTAGGGTTGCACAGTAATTTTTCTTTTCACTCTTTCCCTCCTAACACTTTTCCTTCCTTCCCAAACAGAGGAAAGTTTATTGGTTCCCTCATTTTCCAGCCTAACTTTCCCTTTCCTTTCTTTTCTCTCCTTCTAGAACAGAGTGTAAGGTTCGTTTGCTTGTTGGATTTGAAAATGAGGGTTTTGAGTTTTCAAAACCTTTGGATTTATAATGAATTTGTTGCATTATGGATTTGGAAGAGTACATTGTTTGTGATGTTTATTTTTGTCATAGATTCATGATGGATTTGTTCACATTTTGCCTTCCATTATCAAATGCCAAATGAAATGTGGGATTTGCAAATCTGTGGGGTCCACGGATTTTGATCTAAAAAACGGGTCCAAATCCGTGGGCCCACTGATTTGTGTCCCTTAGCAAATAATGGACTTGTGCCAATTCCATTATGCTTGGAATTTGGGTACCAAATCCATCACCCAAATCCCACAAGCAAACGATACCTAAGATTACTGGTTGTAAAGAACAAAAGGTTGGCATTATGGATTTATGGTGGGTCTAATTTGTGCTTGTTAATAGACATTCTAATTAGGATTGGTAATCAAACCCACAATCGCATACTCAACCATCTCGATTCAATCAATTTGGGAAATTCTCGCATTGGAAATGGGATTAGTATGGTATAACTCGTAAAAGTTTTGATGATGATGATGATAGGGTGTGTATGGTTTTATACTTCATCGTCTTATACACATACTCATATCCGACCCATTAAAAGTAATTTTTAAGTATATAAGGGGTCGTTTGGAAGTTGCGATAGTTTTGTTGAGATTGTCATTATGCATGTATTGTTTACAATGCATCATTTTTTTTAGCAGAAACAATACATGGATTGTTTGTGTGATGTGACAGAAACTATCACTCATTTTGAGTGATTGTTATATCTCAACTTTTAGTTGTGATTGTTGAGATTGTTTTGTCTCAGTTTTTAGCTGATGCGACATACACAATCACACATACCAAATGTTGTATTCTTAAAATGCATCAAATTCGACAATACATGTATAATATTATACATGCATTCTCAACAATACATTTATTTAACAATCGCAACTTCCAAACGACCCCTAAAAAACATAAGATAATATTTTATCCATGACACAAAAGGTAACTAAAAAAAGTGAAATGTAATTTAGATGCACCCAAATCAAAAACTAATTTATTTTCCCATACTCACCATTCACTCTTTCACTTCTTTTTCATTGTTATCAAGATTATGTTAGTTATTTATTGTTTAGTACATATGTGAGTTGCAGACAAATGATTTGAATAGTATTGTAATTTTTCTTATGGATCAATGATGTTTTATGACGGGATATTTTGAACTCATATTATGAATAATGGGTGTAGCTTTGTTGATTTCGCTATTTACTAGCTTTGTTTAGTGCTATAACTTATAAGTGAATCTCTACATGTTCAATTCTAGATATAATAATATTGGATATATGAGATGAGCATTATCCATGGACCATGGGTACTCAAAAATCGCATCTATGGCGATGGAGTTACAAATCCTCCACACGTGGCTATGTGATGGTTGAGGATTTGGGTATTTGAAAATGGGTATCAACAATGACGGAGGCCGGATTTGATAATACATGTGTCCTCTTTTCGAAATATAAATATTTAATTAATAAGTATAATCAAAACTAATCTCTTAGTTACCCGGGACTGGGAGTTGAGGATGCTGTATCCAAATAATTCATTCATAGACAAAAAAATAATAATAATAATAATACAATCATTGTTTTCGTAAACAACCACGACAAGTTTTCACATTCGGGAAGACACACAAATTATATTTGTTGTCTACACATTTAAATAGGTCTCCTTTAATGCATCCCACTAAGCAACCATTAGCTAACTGTTGGCCAATTCGACCTCGAAGTTTTTACTGAATATAACTCAAAATTGAAAATGCTTTTTATACACTTGTCGTTGCAATTGGTAGTCTGATCTGTAAAGTTCTTGTATATTATCGTGTTTAGCCTGCTTCTTTTCGAAATGTCAATTTATAAACAAGTAATGAGTTGTAGTGTAGGGAAAAACATTTTTATACCGTCTATAGGTATTGTGTTCCATTATTAGTATAAACATATACAAGGTAATTTTTTCCTCCCAAAATTTACCATCGGCATCCCTATTTCTAATCCATTTTGTGTTTGTTATCATCAAATGTTCTTATGCCCCAACCCGCGATAATGCCCAATACAGTTATGGCGACTCTGGTTTTGATAGACAATCTACTGTTTGCATAATCGCACTGATGAGCTATTGTGCTTCATCAAGTTATATTCCATGTTGAATGCTACTTATTATCTCTTTAGCTCGCAATCATATGGATTTCTCTCTGGTTCATCATATGCTGAATTCCCTCGAAATTTCACTATCATTTGAAAAAACTACAGATCAACTGGTGATGAAACTAACTACAGATGCCAAAGTTACAAACTTTTCACCATGGTCATTAGGGGTAACCTTCATATTCTACTCATTATGCTAATTACTCGACCGGTTGATAAGGTACAATAATCCTTGCTCCGAATTCCATAAACCTGCCACCATCTCCTTCAAGGCTAGAAGAAACTAGCCTTTCGTACAATTTGAAAAATGAGGTTGACAAGATCTTACTTTCATCCCCTTTAGTTAGAAAGAAAAGAAACAACCCTACAACCCACCTGAACTTAGATGCAGCTACTGAAGTTACCTAATTCCTGAACAACAACATCCATGGAGGGCCTCTCAATAGGAGACTCATGGGTACAAAGCCAAGCAACCCTAGCAAGCTTGGCAGCTTCATATTCAAAGAACCTTCCATGGACATTTGGGTCAATGTAGTCCTGGAACCTACATGCCTCAACTCCCAATCTGACCAGATTCGAAACATTTCGCTTCCCCGAGAGGATTTGGAACACGATCACCCCATAGGCATACACATCGCTCTTGTCCGTGAACCGGCCAGTGGTCGAGTACTCTGGAGCCATGTAACCCATTGCCGCACTAGCTTTCAGTGCCGAGAAGACCGTGTCGTTGGTGAGCAGGTTCTGCAGGCCTGAATCGGCTAGCACCGGGTTGAACCTCTGGTCGATTAGCACCTTCTCGGCCGTGATGTTCTGGTGGATCATGGACGGTTTGTTGGCTTTGTAGCCGTGCAGGTAAGCTATGCCTGCACAAAGCAAGATCCAACCATGAAACTGAATTTCGTTAGAGACAGTTTATGTGACATCAAATGTTCTTGCTACGCATAATTTGTCTCAAAATCAATACTAAAATGCTATAGGGAAGTTAAAGTTCTGACCTTTGGCGATGCCCTTAACAATGGAGACTCTAGTGGACCATTCAAGAACACGGCTGCCACCTTCCTCAACATCCAGATAGCTCAACAAGTTGCCATTATGAACATAATCATAGATCAAGAAGCACTCCCCGCGCCCTCTCGAGCAGCAAAACCCTCTAAACCTCACCAAATTGTCATGCCTCAGCGAAGTCAATGCATTCAACCCTCTCAAGAACTCAGCCTCGTCCGACTTGCAGCTGCTCTTGCTGATGCTCTTGATCGCCACACCAGACCCATCTCGAAGAATCCCTCTGTACGTCGAGGTAAACTTTGACTTCCCAAGCAAGTTCATCTCGGAGAAGTACTGCGTTGCAGTCTCCACTTCCTCCAAGTTGAACTTGAAGCTCTCAAGAACATCTTGGGTGGCATTCCCACAGTTCTTGCCATCAGCCAAAGGATCCCAACCGTTGGGATACTCCAGACTGATTAGTGGGGAGCCATTTTTCCTGTAGATCCCACCACTCTTTGCTTGTTGATCAGTAGAGAGATTTGCAGGATCCAATGTGCTGGAAAGCTTCTGCTTGCGGCGGCGGTAGTGAATGAATGAGAGTGCTGAAATGGCTAGCAAAGCTATGGTGAGGACAATTGAGCCCACGATGAATGAGGCTGCTTGATGGTGGTGAGTTGCTGGATTTGAAGAGCAGTGAGTTTGATTCTCGCTGCAGGGGAGTCTCAAATCAGCTGTTTGTGGGATTTCCCTTGTATTTGGAATCCCATCTCCTGGTCCAAAAGCTTCTGGCCTGTTTGGGTTGGTTCCTTCTGATGCATTGCAAGGTCTTAACGACATGAAACCCGACCCGCAGAGCCCCGGGTTGTTTGTGAACACGAAACCCTCGTTCAGCCTCTTGAGAGCTGAGACCAAAAGATGCAAACTTTAAGCCATTTTGACATTAAACTAGACGGACCCAGAATGCAGAACGGAGTAAAAAAGGGGAAAAGATGCGAACTTTAATCAATTTGGAGATCCAATTAAACGATCCCAAATGAACAAATGGAAGCAGAAGAGAAGAGAGTTTGATTTTTGTAGATTACCGAGTGGGACATTGCCGGAGAAAGTGTTGTTGCGGATGTCTAGAAGTTGGAGAACGGGAGCATCGGCGAGTTTCGTTGGGATTGAGCCGAAGAAACGGTTGAAGCTCAAATCTAGGCGCGTTAGCATCCCTAGATTGCCTAGGCTAGCCGGGATTGCGCCATTAAATCGATTTGACTGAAGGGCGAGAACAGTTAGCTTGTTTAATGAGCCTAGCTGGATTGGTACGCTTCCATTAAACTGGTTGTAACAGAGCTGCAACACTGAAATCTCCCCCCATAAAAGAACATAAAAGTTAGAAACCAGCAAATATCGGACTTCTCTGAAACAGGGGCAAGTTTATTTTTTTGGGATTAACCTTGTAGTTTAGCCAAGTTGCCAATCTGAGGAGGGATTTCGCCGGAGAGATTGTTGACGTTCAAGTACAAGTCAACGAGCTCGGTCAAGTTCCCAATCTCAGAGGGGATTTCGCCGTACAGAGAGTTGTAATGCAAGTAGAGACCAGTCAAGTTCTTCAACCCAGAAATGGCAGGGGATAGCTTCCCATGAAGCCCTTTCCCCTGCAGCGAAATGTTAGCAACCTGACCTTTCTCATTACAACCCACTCCTTCGAACGAGCCGCCGCACGGGTCGCCATTGACGGTCCATGAAGAAAGGTACTTTCCTTCAGGGTCCAAAGCTGATTTTACTTCCAGGAGAGAACTCAGCTCCTCGGTGCTGGTAGTAGCGCCCTGAACCAGTATGAAAACCAGAGTGGAGAAGAAGCAGAAGAAGAGGAAAATTGCTGAAGAAGCAACAGAAGCCATTGTCTTCAGTTTCCCAACTTGCAGTTACTCTCTCTCTCTCACTCTGTTTTGTTTATGCTCTGTTTTTTAGCTTGTTTTGATGGGGTAGCAAATAGTGGGGAAAGGAAATCCTACTTAGAATATTGATGAAGAGCTCTGCTCTCCCCTGTAAATGGACAATGGTTAATTATTAGTTTAATTTTTCTGGACTGGGGAAAGAGTGTACCGCCATATCGAAAACCGCAACCCGAAAAAGAGTGGAGCAGAGGTCTGAACAGGGGAATAAGTACATTAAAATAAAGAAAAGAGAGGAAGGAAATTTTGAAAACAAACAATTTGTGGGTAAATTTGATTCGGGTTGTGGATCGTTGGATGAGGGGACTTTTTTGGAGGAGGTCCTTTTGTAGTGTAGCATTTTGGATAGTTTATGGCGCCTGAATGGGTTCCTTCCAAGTTCCAATCCATTGTCGTTCCATCAAAACAGAGAGTGACAACTGACAAGAGAGGTGAGAGGGATGAGGATGGTTTGGTCTTTTCTCTTATGATTCTCGTCTTACTGCTGCTGTAGCCTGTACTGTGGTCATGAGAAGCTTAGGCAAAATGATCAGCTGGAGTGCAAGCAAGTAAGAAGGAAATCATGGGAATGGAAAAACGTAAATGCAAAGCATGTAAGAAGGAAATGATTCGATGAGGACAGTGTGTATGTGTCACAACTAGACATGTGGAAATTGAGTCCATATCTTTTAAGTTATTCTTTAATCAAACTTGTTAAATATGATTTTCGTAGTAACTTTTCAATGATAAAGTATTCACTTCCAAACTCAACGGTGGCAACTAAAAACGATGGTTGCGCTTGTTGCGGGACTTAACCCAACACCTTACGGCATGAGCTGACGACAGCCATGCACCACCTGTGTCCGCGTTCCCGAAGGCATCCCTCTCTTTCAAGAGGTTGTTTTTCTTGATGGATTTGGTGAAGTATTTTGGTGATGGATTTGGGTTCATGATGGACTTTGTCCAAAATCCATTATTTGCTTCAAGTATTTAGGCTTAGATAGATGTGTTCCAGTCACAAGGGGCTTCCGTTGGACGAGGTGGGAGCAAAGCAGGCCGCGTGGTTAGCAATGAGATTAATGTTATACACTTATAGTCCCCTTATCAATTCCTGATTGATTCAATTAAAAAAATTAAAATAACTTTTGACACATAAATATATAAGTATTTGTCAAGAAGCAGTTGATCCTAATAACTCGAGTTGTTGCGAGAAGTTCAATTCTAGATCATATACCTTATTAACACCTTCCCCGCAAACTCAATCTACTCAGATAGGCTTGGAGTTTGCACACGTACAGGTCCGGACACAATGTGCTTAACAGAAACAGATGTGGGTCATGGAGATTCGAACAGAAGACCTCACGGTCACAGAATGCTTTGATACCATGTCATAAACCAACTGGTTTGTCTTTGAGGTCACGTGTTCAAGCCCTCACGACCCCATTATTAACCGTTGTCTTCAAGCACGTGGTGTGACGGGCTTGTGCAAACTTCAAGTCTATGAGTTAGCTTTCGTTTGAGACATAAAAGTAACTAAAATGTATTAAAATCATTCTCATTCTTTAACCTGAAATCCGAAACATAGTTCTCACGGTAGTTTTCAGAATATCAGGTGACCTCATTACAAAATCTTTTACTAGATAAGACCTAGATTAGCATTTACCAATTGGGGGAAGAACCTCGCTTTCACTCATTCTTTCTGGTTCTCAATTGCAGGTAATTTTTAGGCGAGGCTGACTTGCTGTGCTTTTTTCTTTCTCGTCTTCCTTTATTAAACTTTAGGTTTTACAGTTTTACTCAACAGTCAACTCACTCGGTTCCCTGTCAATGGCGCAGGCATTGACCCAGTAACTGGAAGGACAGCGCCGCCAGGTGGCAAAGACATTTGTCGGTTACTAGTAGGGCCCGTGTATGTTCGTTGGCATGGCCTGCTAGTCTAGTCAAACCTCCCCCAGTCACTGCAAAGCTAAAATCCCCATTAGAAGAAAAAAAAGCGTCTTGAATTCAAAATTTCTTTCGGAATCGCATGCGGGCAACCCCAGCGTAAGATCACCTGGCTAACTGACAGATGGTTTGTGGCTTTGTGCCACGGTGGTTTGTGGTAGTCTGGAGCTGGAGTGCATCGGATGGCAATGGGTCGGGTTGGTGCGGGTTTTGTCAAACCCAAACTCAAACCCAATGGTTTATCAGTCAAAAAAACTCGGGGGAAAACCCGTTGGGTTTGAAAAACTCAAACCCAACCCAACCCGTTGGGTATCCGCGGGTTCATGGGTACTCGTGGGTTTTTGTGATAAAATATTTACAATAACAAGTTTCTTTCAAAATAAAAGTTTAACATCAATTTTCTTATATAAAAAACACCAATCTAGAGCATACAAGCAAACCGCAAACGATCAATACAAGTTGTTCAAAATTAAAGATAAACATCTATAAACAATAAGATTAATTGAAAGCTTCTTCCTCGTCAACTAAGTTTCTTCACTCTTCACTTATAATATCAACTTCATTCTAAATAATTAGAAAGAACAAATTATACATGTCTCCACAAACATAAAGAATATTAGTTGTTTAAGGAAGATATATTATTTATAATATTAAATATACCGGGAAAATACTTATATGTGTGTGGGTTGGTACCCATGGGGCGGGTTTACTTAAACCCAAACCCAACCCGACCCATAGAATAGTGTAGCGGGTTTCAACCCTAACCTGGCCCAAAACCCGTCAACACGGGTACCAACATGAATTTTGGTACAAGGGATGTACGAAGGGTTTGGGTTCAAATCTCACTTAAAAATTCAGGAATTTAGTTCGTCTTCCTTCTCACTCTTCTCATTTCTTCTTTCTATAGCAACGAAGAAAAACACAAAACTAAACAAAAAACAGACAAACCATTGGTGTTCCCAACCCTAGGGGCCCGTTTAGTATTGTTACTTGTTTTGTTTTCTGTTGTGTTTTAAGAATTTTGGGAAACCAAGAAAAAATTCATGTTTAGTTGGGTTTTTATTTTTTGTTGTGAATCAGAGTTGTTCAACAGGGCCCAAATACGAGAAACAGCAATTTATTGCTTTGGATCTGATTCTTAAACATGTTGCACAGTGGTTTTTTGTCCGATTTCATTAAACGGGGTTTTGGGTTCGAGACCAGCAAATGTATCTTTCTTATATATATTTTCCTATTATATTGCTTCTTTCCTTCTCGTAAAACCTCCATCTCCATGCCACGAGCTCTCTTCTCTTCACCGCCAATTTCCTCCACTCACCCCTCCCTTCTCGTCGCCGCCAATCACCTACTCATGTTGCCCGTCTGTTCGCCGCCAATCACCCACTCATGTTGCCCGACTACTTGAGTGGCGACCGTCGGAGAGGAACTCGAACTGGAATCGGGAGCCGCTTGGAGATCCGCCACAGGTCGACATTGTCCGAGCGCTAAGGTCGTTCACATTTTCCGGGAGTTCGCAAGGTGCCTAACGGTGACGGGGATGGGAGAATCGTAGATTAGAAACTTGTTGAGCTTCAAAGAAGACAACCTGTGCCAGAAACCCTCGTCGGCGGAGCTCTGGAAATGGGGATTGCAATCTTCCCGACGACAGTTTATTTCCACCGCTAGCAAAAGGGGTCCGAAGTGGAGTCTTTCTTTTAAAGAAAGTGCATACCTTTTCTTTCGATGCAACGAACATGTTTGCTATTTTTGTTTTTGGTGTGTTTTTTGCGTTAGGGATTTTTATCTTGTGAGATAAACAGGTTGTTGATTTGCATTGTGTTGTTGTTGTCGTTGCTTTTCTGTTTGCACAACCTTTGTAAAACACAAGAGGATGAAAACTATACTAAACGGGGCCTAGGGTCTTCGCAAACCTGCGACGTCCTTGGCTCCTCGCCAATCTACGACGGCCTAGCAAAACTCCGGCAACCTCGCAAAATATCTAGCATTCTCCCAAACATTTAGCAGAACACATTCAAAGTAAACAACTAAACTACTCTACAACCTATACTAAAATTATAGGGTAAATACAATTTGATATCCAAACATTTCATTTTAAACAATATAATAGTCAAACTTTTTCGAAAACAATCTAATATCCAAATCGTCAACTTTCCGTTCGTTTGACCGTTAGTTGACACTTCAAAAAAGTTTTGTTTAGGGGAAATTGTCACAATACAACTTTGTTTCTTGTTTTGGCATTGTAGATGACTGAATATTTAGATATTCTATACCATCATGGTGGAGTTATGGACTTCTCGGGTTTGGAACTACGATATGTTGGTGGTTTTTCAGAGAAGATATCGATAGATATTGATGAGGTGTCGTACTTCGAACTTTTTTGAAGTGTCAACTAACGGTCAAACAGACAGAAAGTTGACGATTTGGATATTATATTGTTTTCGAAAAGGTTTAGCTATTATATTATATAAAATAAAAGGTTTGGATATTAAATTGTATTTACCCAAAATTATACTACTAATTAGAGGTTAAAAATTCACTCTTGTATTGATTCTTCCTGGCCACTAACAGGATTAATGATCCTCTCATTTGGCAGTGGTGCTCATCACTGTATATGAATAGTATATTTTATCTTTAGATTAATTAAAAAAACTATTCAGCTTTAAAAAAAAACTATTCATAAAAAAGTAAAAATAATTTGTTCGGGTAAAGTACAAATCAGTCATTCACAACAACGTCATTAATGGATTAGCCCCAAAACAGCTATTTCAAACATTTTAGTCCATGTGTGGCAGTCTGTGCTTTGCAAATCTATTTTCAAAATTTCTGACAAAATAGTAAAATACTGTCAATTTTGGCACCTCCCTTTGATTCTTTCTAGTCGTTCTCTAGCAAATAACAGCAATCGATCGGCCACTGCACTACTCCACTGTAGGCCTTTGTCCATCGAATGAACATTGAACAGACAACAAGAGAAGACAGTTTCTGTTTCTTCTGTTTCGAATTTACATGTTTTGATATTACAAGGTATATACTCGTCCAAAAAAAGGGGTTGTTTATGTTCTGTTGGAAGTATATTCAGTTTCTAGATTCTCTTGAGGGCTACCAGCATTCGGGATTTGGGAAGGCCTGAAAAATGAAAATGGAGAGAAAAATGTGGGGCTAAAACGCCATGGTTAATTATGAACAGTATAATTGAACTTCAGCAAAATACTACCAAGCTCATAACTACTCATGTGTAGAGATGGCAATGGGGCGGGTTTGAGGCGGATTTGTTTAAATCATCCCCAACATTATTATACCTAAAACTTACAAGAAAAGTTTTAATTATCATCCTAAACGAACCTATTGTATCATGAAATCAACAAAACACAGTCATTTTCTTAATACGATTCAAAGAATATGATTCTAAAACATCCATTAATACATAATATAGAGTACAATATTCTTCAAATTATTATGTTCTATCTCTGATATATCTACTAAGTAATAATTAACTAACATAATCTTGTTGACAAGGGGGAAAGTGAAAGTGTTAAAGGAGAATTGAGGAAAATGAATTAGGTTTTGATTAGGATGGTAACTCGATTGCATTTCTACTATTAATTTTCTCAAGTTATCCTCATCATCATTGATAGATTACAATTTGATCCACATATTTTTTTATATGTGAATAAATTCTTTTGGCGGGGCGGGTATGGGGCGGGGGAGCCTAAAACCATACCCGCCCCATATCCATCAAACTTTTTGCGGGTTTTACCCATACCCGCCTCATACCCGGTCAAAGCGGGGATTCCCCGCGTTGACTGGGTCGGGGGCGGTCGAATACCCGCGGCCATGGGTTTGATTGCATCCCTACTCATGTGCCACTCATACGCGTGGTAGAAGATTGGAATCAACGTATACAATATATGTTAAAAACGGATCAAGATAATTGACAATGCAAGAAAAATAACGATAGCAAGAAATAAATGAGCACACAAATTTATGTGTTTCACTAACACAACGTGTGTTAGTTAGTTCAGAGGCGGGAGAGAGCCACCTCATTATACTTGGGAAGGTTATAATTTACAAAGGAGTATGAGGAGTATATAGAGCCACCAAGCACCAAGCGATCCCGATAAACAATCAAATAACATGAACATTCGAGGAAAAATCAGCCCTATCCCAAGACTCTTAACTAGCATCGTTGCTATCTTGTATAACCATCCGGGGAAAACTAACCCCGATGATATCTTCCCTTATGATCTTCTCCAACTCCGTGGGAGGCTCTTCTAGCTCTTACAATCTGAAGGGATAGACGAGACTGTGCTTCGAGAGCCAGTCTGCGACTCTATTCCCTTCGCGATATGTGTGAACTAGCTGAACCACCCAATTACTACGTAGCAGGCGCCGAATCGTGCTCAAGATGCTTCCGTGAAGGTGCACAGGATCATGCTGTTGTTTAATAAAATCAATAGCTAGCATGGAGTCTGATTCCACAATGAGGAATTGAATACCTTGTTTCCAAGCTAGCTGCAGGCCCGTGAAGATACCTCATAATTTGAACACGTCAGACCCGGTTTTTGGTGTAATAGTAGATCTCTCTCCTATTTCAAAACCTCCACCTTCTCTCTAGCTTTCCATCGTCTTCTTTACAGGGCTGTTGCCGGCACCACTCTGGTGACCGGCGGTGGCCCAATTTCTCTCTTTTTTCTTCCTTTCTCTTGCTCGCCGGATTTCCTTTGTGGTTTCCTTGCTCTCCGATCATCGCCGGCTTTTCCTGTTTCCTTTGCCCTTATCGGCTTTTGCAGATCTATTCTGATTTTCCTGCCCTCGATGGCTCTTCCAGCCCTTGGTGGCTTTATCTCGGTTCCTAAGTGGTTCCTCCCACATTCCTCCCTGGTGGAGATGTTGTGTCTTGTTCAGATCTAGTTTTATAGATTTGTTCCTCTGTTTTGGGTACGGAAGATGCAATTTGGGGGTGCTTCTGCTGGATCGGTTTTGAAGATTACCCCATTCTTGGTGTGGTCGTTCACGTGGGCGATCATGTTCACCGTTCCGCCTCTGCCGTTGTGCTCCTTGCTTGATCTCTGCATCTTTGCCAATCGTCAGTGTGGGTAGCGGTGTCTCTTCCGAATGTCGTGGCAGATGGTCCATGTTTCAATGAGATCGGAGTTCTTCCTTGGGGTTGATTTGCAGTGTGGGTTGGTGTTGATGGTGTGGGTTGTGCTGCTCGTTGGTGTTCTTGCTCTTGGATCTCTTTTTAGCTTTGTGTTTCTGCAGGTGAGGCTCAGGCTGGTGGGTCTTCTTTCTTGTGGTTTTTGTGGGTATTTCAACCCTTTGTGTTCCCTGCTCTCTGGTTTGTCATGGATGCATCCGTTGCCGGCTCCCACTCTTTGTTTCAGTTATGAACAATCATGTATAGTCCTGCCCACCGCCGTGTAATCTCTTCGGTGATTCACTGTGATGGGTCGTCTTTGAACAACTCCCAGGAGGCGGCATATGGTGTTGCAATGTTCAATCATCATGGTCATTTCTGTATTGGATGAGCTGAAGCTTTCCTTTGAGTTTTTCAGATAAATGGGGTTGCAAAGAGTGATTCAGATGCTTTGGTTTGCGGCTCAAGATTGGAATGCCCTTGTCTAGTTGGATCATGCTTGGCTTTCTCTTATTCTGATTTTTTCCTCGTTGGTTTGTGTGTTCCTCTGGATGTTGAAGCTGTTCTTTCTTGATTTGTTTTCTCATGTTGTATCCATTCTTTGTAACCAATTTTATCAGTTGAGCAATATAAGTGATCCCTTTGTTAAAAAAAAAAGATTCCTCATAATTCCGCAATGATGGTTGTACTTGCGCCGATTCGATGACAAAATCCGCTAACCCAATCACCACCGCTGTCTTGGATAAGAACCCTATTCCAAAATGCTATATGCCTATGAAAACTATATGAAGCAAGAAAATTAAAAGAACCCTATTGCAAATGGAGCATCGAGCTTTAATTTATATTAGTTTTGAACACGGGTTTCGACTCATACATTTATTTGGCTTCACCACAAATCATATATATAGGAATATAAGCCATTAGTTCAACGGGAAGAAATATATTGTTGTGCGAATTTGGCATAACATCATTTGAATTAAATTTTGTTTGATGAAACAAGAGTGTGATGTACATGTGACTTGGAAATCGTTTAAAAATTTACACCATAAGGGCACGCCATGACTTCAAAAACGACAACCAAGTTGATGAGGAAGGACCACAATTGCACACTAAGGGTTGGACACTAGTTTAGGACATGACAATGCAACCGTGTTATATTAATATTTTACACAGTTTATGTACAAAATTGGTGCTGTAATTTTGACATTATAGATTCTAAATTTCTGCACACACAACTTAGCTAGGAAGTGAGATGAGGGCATATGATTCTTTCATCATTTAGTCTCAGCAAACACGACACATAGAAAGATATAGAAATTGTCCCATTCTTTGCAATGTTGTTTGTGTTGTTGTGACAGCAACAAGTCTGTGGGTTTTGGACCACGCCCAAAAAAGAAATGATCATGCAGTAGTGGCAAAAAAGGTTGACAAAGACATTGGAGGAAAGAAAGAAACACAAAAAAAGGGTTATACTTACAAGAGATGAAGAGAATGTGTATAAAGGAGATCAGGAAAAAGTATGAATGAATGTGCAGCACACTGCTCGATTTCATTGCCCGATTGAAAAGTGAGTTTTTTTCTTTTTCTTCTGCAGTTTGTCAATATTTGGCTGAAAAAGGTGCCGAGAAAACAACTCAATAGAGTCGACATTTGAGATCTAGATGAATCTGAGTAGTAAAAAAAAAAAATATTTTAAATGTTGAAGTTATTTGAGAAAAATTCGGATTTGAAATTGTGATACTATTTGATTATCTCGAAACAAAACTATTGGTTGGTTCATTTACATTATTATGCGCTTGTTTATAGAGATTTATTAACATGAGCATGAAGGTTGGTATTAGAATGTGTTCATTATTATTATGGTATCCTGACCATTAGATGTACACGAGATTATTTTTTTGTATTAAGGCACCAAAATTATGCATGTGAAGCGATATAATTGCGATTCTCACAATCCAACCATTTCAAAATTAGCTTCCTCCTCTACGGTCCTCATATATTTCCCTTTGCATAGTTTTCAAAGATGTGGTGGTAGTAAGGTTTTGTTTTTGTTTGGGGACTTTGGAATATTTTGGGGGGTTTGTGCACAATAATATTCAAATCATGCACCTATTAATTAAACCATTCATCATTAATCTTTACTGTACACCAGGGGCAGTGAGTAATATTTATTTGTCATTTCACCCTTATAAAAAAAAATGTTTATTTGTCATTTTTTTAACTTTCTTCTCAGTGGAAATTTCATTATTAGTTAATTATTGGATTAGAAAATGAATGGAGAAATGTGGCATGCGATGAGGTGAATGGATCAAGGTCGTGATGGAGGTGGGCCGAAGCCATAGCAGAGATTTGCATAGGACGGTGTGTTGGAGCCCAAAGCCCAACTTTGTTTTTTGTTTTACCAAACCAAGCTAAAACTAGTCATTGGTTGCTGGGATGTGAAGCCTTGGGAATCGATGATGTTTGGTTGGAGCATGGGATTCCTCGTTCATCATTCGATTTGTAATTCTTATTGAACTAATAATTTGGGCCAATCATGTACAGAAAGTAGAAATCTTTGTGAAATTACACTAAAAATTCCAAATGCTTTCGTTGAAGTATATGATTGTTTAGGTTGAGCGCACAATTCGAAGAAGAAATTTAACCGATCGATAAGAGAGTGTGGTATAAGATTTACCATTAACATTCTTTCAACATTTCGAGTTATTGGGACTAATTGTTGCGAAAGGATCATATATGAATCTTAACTGCTTCTTTATACAACGGCTCAAACGAAATCAGTTCCTGAGGTTGAAGTTTGTACATACTCGCTATACCATGTGTTGCTAAAACGAAATGACTTTCTTTTCTTGTCTCGTTGCCTTGTTAACTTTTTATTCTCCCCGTAGTATTGTTCCTTTCAGCAGCAGCAGATACCCCTAAAATTTGGGAAAACGATTATCCAACCTCCGGTAGTAGTTTCGTATGAGTATACAAAATATAATTGGTAATCCGGGACACCCTAACATTTGAAAAAATGATTATCATACCCTTGATAATAGTTTGCTTATAATTAACAAAATATAAGTGGGAGTCCGCGTTATTCCAACCTAGGACACTACTATTATCAAACATATTCTAATTATGTTGCTACTCATTTGTTATTCTATTTTAAACATCATGCAACAGTAAAACGCTATTTCTTTATCTCCAACTATTTTCAATACCTAATAATTAAACTACGTACACGCTACCCTTAATTTTGAATTGATTTTATGGTTACACGGCAAGTGTTGAAAGAGTCTTTTCTACTTTGAGCTACATTAAGAACAAGGTTAGAAATTGAATATGTGATAAGTTCGTGAAGTATTGTCTAGTAGGATATGTAGATTTTTTTTGAACAGTGCAGACACGGAATTTATTTATATTATTTTTTCAAAATATGAAAATACATCATGAATTTTAATAAAATTTTTATACAAGTATGATTTTTTTAATATACGAATTATTTAATTAAATTTAATTTTTTAAGAGGGCATCCCTATGAAAATTTACTGAATCCGCCACTGAGCAGGGCATGCATCTATCTATCCCAATTCTCGTGCAAGGAGATCTCTGCTCTGCCGGGGAAAATCCATGGATTTGCTTTTTTCCTTCTTTTCCCTGCAGCGCACTGGAGAAGATAAAGGCAGCTAACTAAGCACATGATTAATTAAGCTTTTGATGCCCACCTTTGCATGCAAACGAATCTTTCCTTTTAAGTGCATGGGATTCTAATAATTCTGCTCGAGATCTCTGCCCGGCCGATGGGTATTATTTTGATAGAATACAAAACGCAAACAGAATATTTGAGATTAACGTATCACACATTCACACCATATGAATCATACAGAAATGACTCGTCACAGAGAATCACTAAATTGAAAAATTGTTTTGCTGTGAACATGAATGAAGATGAAACGCTCAAGGCTAACTTATGTGCTTGTAACGTACAAGGTACAACCTGAAACCTAGTTTTTTTGATAGCATTAGAATAGAGCTTAAGGATCATTCCCATTTTTTGTTTCTACCCTAAATTCAATATCTATGTAGTACTCAAATAATTTTTGATTGTTGACCCAAAACTTGGTATGAGCAGTGCCATATATCACACTAAATTAATCATTGTGAAACCGTACAGGAAATCATACAAGAAAAGTTAGTAATAAAATATTTTAAATCAAAATCGTAATCCAACTATTTCATACCGCTAAACTCCCTGCTATTTGGAATTTAATATCCGGTATTTATAGTCCGATCGACCGATTTGATAGAATTGCACTAAACTATTGAGTGTTGACAAAATGAGGGGAGGTTTGATTTCGAGTTCCCCCTTTCTGCACTAGTGGGGGCATGGACTGTACTTGTTGGGCTTTGGTTAAATGAATCAATTCATTCATGGATTCTTTACAAAGCAAGATTCACACAGTCCAAGGGTTTGAAGATGGGCCCAGCCAATTAGAATGAGCGCCCAGTATGACAAGTAACCAGGCCCAATTCCCGTGCGGCTGTCTAACAAATCTGAATCCACAGGCGTAGGCCCGTCAGTTGAAAGAATATATAGGCATGTAAACCCTAACCCATTATAATCACGAAGCTAGGGTTTGCATCTTTGCAGTGCGTGTAGGCATCGGCTGCTGAGCAGAAGGAGCGAAGAGACCGCCGCACAACCTTTCGTCGCCGTCACCATGGGTCGTATGCACAGTCGAGGGTGAGACTCTTCAACCTCTTTGTCTCCTTCTTCTCTTCGCTTTTCATTCCAATCTCTTCTACAAATCGGGTTTTATGAATCCAAATGCTGATCGGTGCATTTTCTCCATTCTAGTAAGGGTATTTCCGCTTCTGCTCTGCCCTACAAAAGAACCCCGCCGAGTTGGCTCAAGATCTCTTCTCAAGATGTGAGTCGAATCTGCGCTGTGACTTCCCTCGTTATATTTTTTCCATTTCATGTTGGGTTGTGAAGAATGATTACCTACGATTGATATCTGTGTTTGCATTGTGACTGATTTGATGGGGTTGTTTGGTTCCAGGTCGAAGAGAACATCTGCAAGTTTGCAAAGAAGGGTCTGACTCCATCCCAGATTGGTGTCATTCTTCGTGACTCTCATGGTATTGCTCAGGTCAGGAGTGTGACTGGCAGCAAGATCCTCCGTATTCTCAAGGCAAATGGTAAAGTTTGGAACTTCTGTTTTGATCATAGAAGGGGATTGTTCTTATGCTAGATTGCCTGGTGTTTAGGATGTATTTGATACTATGAACAGTGAGCCCTTGGATTAGTGTCACACTAGTTAGTTGGTGTTTTAGATTCATTAGAGATATGAAGTTACTGATAAGCATGCTTGAATGTGGCAGCTTGTGTGTAGCTGTAGAAAAAAAACAGGCCATTTTGTTAGAGTAGGTTGTCGTCCAGTGTTACTGTATTTTACTATTTTATAGTTTGTTTGGGCTTCAGTTGGCGTATGGTTTCTCATCGGCTGTTTTGATGCAGGGCTGGCCCCTGAAATTCCTGAGGATCTGTACCACCTCATCAAGAAGGCTGTTGCCATCAGGAAGCATTTGGAAAGGAACAGGAAGGACAAGGACTCCAAGTTCCGCCTGATTCTTGTTGAGAGCAGAATTCACAGGCTTGCCCGCTACTACAAGAAGACAAAGAAGCTCCCCCCAGTCTGGAAGTAGTAAGTGCTTTCTTGTCAAGTTATTTATGTGATCATGAATTCACGTTGGTGGTCGTAGTGTCTAGTTTTGATGATTGCGTTCTGAATGAATAATGACTTGGTTGCAGAATTTGTCAATGGCACAATTGCTATTGTTGCTAGTTGAACATTTTCTGCATTCCATGTTTTCTGCACTTCTTGGTAGTTTCTCTATGTATATTCCTTTACCCTATTTGTTATGCTGACATACACAAATTTACTTTCTTGCAGCGAGTCGACCACTGCCAGCACTCTCGTGGCCTAGGCAACCCATCTTTGCTCTCAAAGTTTTTGCTGAAGTGGTGCTTTCTAGTCAAGTGTTCTTCTATCAGTGGAAGAGTAGTCTTGAGAGCCATGAACTCCTTTTTTGGGTTTTGATGTTAGAGTGGATTTAGTTTGTCTTTTCGGTTGAATGTATCTTGTGGCTCCGAAGTTTTAGAGAACATACTATTATCCAAATCGCTTCTACTTTTAATCACATTGAGTTGTAGAACCAATTGAAGTCTGCGCTTCTAGTTAAGTTGTTTGTATGCTGTCCCATTCTGTGCCATTCTTTCCAATCCTTCTGCCTGCGTCATCCTCATGGTAGATGGTTCATATTCTTGTTGATGGTTTAGTACATTGGTTCATGGTTAATATTTCGAGAGGATCAAGTAATGTTATTAGTCAAATGCTGAATGGAGAATTTGTTGAAGTTCATTCGTTAATCGATCCACTCGTTCAAATGCTTCTCTAACTAGTAACTAATTTGAGTGTCCAATGCACTTCTCTTCCTATGATTGATAAAACTTCTAATTTCCAGCGGCAATGGCACTGTGGTGGACTACACATTTAGGAAGTGAAGGTATCAACTCTCTCCTTTCCTGATGAGGATATTCGTGAGGATGTTTCAATTACTCACATTATCTTCAGTTTCGGCTTACTTCTTTAGTTTGTCGCGAATCGATATACCTTGTTGGCAAAGTACTTGATAAGATTGGTTGCGTTGTTTAAGGTCGATGGAGCTGACTAGTTTTTGGTATTCTCGAATACGTAACTAATTATCTTTACAAGTAATAATCAAATAAATAAATAAATAAATAGTGGTTATAACGACCCTAATTCTGAGCATTTTATATAGTGTGGACTTGTATGTTTAACTTCGTGATTGAAAATTTTGGTTATGAAAATTTGCGGTGAAAAAGTCTAACAAAAACTAAGTGAAGTCATCATTGATTGGATTCAATCAAGCCTCCATTGGACTGATTCATTAAGCCATAACTTTCCATTTAATGCAAAGAGACCAGACAAATGGTCTTGTCACTTGTGTTTATCTAGAGGTAGGACATGGATAAGGAGAACTGGATAAGTGAGGATATGATGATATCTCAGTTTCTAGTCATTGGTAGTGTTTAATTCAATTGATTTGAGAGACGAATGAAAGTGTATGCTTTTTGGTGTCATGAAAATAACAAGAGACTGAGTGAGAGACGAGAGTAATCTAAACTGGATAGCCAAAATTGGGTTTGATGTGGACCTTCTTAGTTATCAAAGATCAAGGAAGAACCAAAGTATGCGAGCTATATTTATTTAGTTTTTAATTTTCATAATTTTATTGATATTTCGATATATAACCTTTCACAATCCTATAATCGCAAATAGCAAATAACACTCCAAAATGAATCACGATACATTTTGATATTAAATTCAATATCAAACTTCCCGCCGTACATGGGAAGAGTGTGCCAAGCCCGACCCGTCCTTTTATTGGGCCTTCGTGTTCGTGGGTTCATTCCGAAGCCTACCAGCTCTTGCCTCTTTAGCGCTTCATGAGCTGGTCGAGATCGGAAGCATCAGATAGCTGCAGAACTTTCACCAGCAAAACTACTAAACCCTAGAGAAACCCCTAAACAATCGAAGTCAAGCCAGGGCAAACCTCCGAATCAAGAGACTACCAGAAGAAGACTAAGGTCAAAGAACCCAAAAAATGGTTCCAGGGCTGAGACAATTCACCGACCGTACCGGCGAAGGTGCCGGTGTGCCGGTGCTCGACGTTGAAAATGGCGAGGAGCTGAAGCACGTGGAGCCCGGCGTCGCCATTGTTATCGCCAATCGCTCCCCGGAATCTACCGGAACTCTCTACATCTCCTCCAGGTAATCCACGCGCATGGGCAGTACTGTTACCTCGTTCTCAGTTCCTGCGTGCCGGACGATGTCCTTTTCACTAATACTGACTCTGCTTTGATGAATTAATTGTTACCAGGAAGGTGGTTTGGTTGAGCGATGTGGATAGGGAAAAGGGCTATGCTGTTGATTTCTTGGCTCTGTCGCTCCACGCTGTGTCGAGGGATCCGGATGCGTTTCCTTCTCCTTGTATTTATGCTCAGGTGAGCTACTGAGTTTTCTATCTTTAACCTTCCAATTGCAGTTTGAAATGGCGACCTGCTTGCGAGGTGAGTGTCGGTTATGCATTCTTATTGTTGCTAGTGTTAGTTAGTCCTGATGAACCAACTTGAGTTTGTAACGTTATAGTTCATATTCGATTAGTTCGCAAACTGCCCGCTTGGGTTCATTCATCGGGTTTAGGAGCTATTTGTCATATGGGTAGTGATAATTGGTTTCGCTTTGTGTGCACAGTACAGTGGTATCCGTGTTTTCACTGGTTAGCTGTAACCTATGCTGGCTACTTATGCTTCTTGTTTGTGGGGAATGATGCTTCTGATCTATCTTTTTTGGTTTGAAGATTGAGACAGGAGTTGATGAAGGTGATTCGGATAGCTCAGATTCTGAGTGTGAAGAAACTTTGGACTTGTCCAAAGTAACAGAGATGAGGCTTGTTCCTTCTGACCCAAACCAGCGTACTGTTCCTTTTCTCTCTCTCTTTTCCTTGTGTGGCTGTAGTTTCGATCCATCATCAATTACAATTGAGTTTGTTATTGTCTTTGGGTGCAGTGGATACTCTGTTCCAGATCTTCTGTGAGTGTGCTGAGCTCAATCCGGAACCAATTGAAGGTGAATGCATTTCTTCTTGAGTACCCTCGTTATACCTTCTAACAGGTGTTGAAATGTTGCTATTCCTAAACCTCTAAATGCTTGGTTTTTATCTCTAGAAGATGAAGGGTTCGGCGGCAACAACTGGGTTTTCAGTGCTGACATGATGGCTGGTGACGGAGCAGGTATTATATACTTGATGTCAATGGTCCCTTTGGTTACTGTTTGATTTCGTTTTTTGCATAGTTTAAAATTACATGATCATACTGGTCTTTCTCCAGATGTGGAAGCCCCCGAATGGTTCTCCCCAACCAGCTCCATTGGCCATTCAAATGGGGATCATGACCTGGCTCGTACTGTGCTTGAGGTGAGCCTTTTCCGTTACAGGCTAACCTCATTTTGAGAAGTTAAAATCTTTACAGCTCGATCTCTCATGTTGTGAACAATTCTTCTTGTTGTTGCTCGTGAATGTGCAGCTGCAAATCAATGATCAACGATTTGAAGATGCGGAAGAGATGGAACGTGAAAACGAGAACAGCCGTGAATCGTGATTGACTTCTTTGACTGATGGCTGGATGTTGGAGTGTGTGTTTTAACAGCGATTCTACATCTCAGAAGGCTATCAATGGTTAATGTAAATCAAAGACTTTGCATTTGGCTTTTGAATCTGTAACCAGAGGGATAGGGGGTTGGCACTAGATGTGTAACAGTTGGTGAATCAGCTGGGTGTATCTGTAATGCAAAGAGATTCCATGGCGCCTCAAATTGTGGAGTTCAAAGACGATCAGGACTGGTTGGCCATTGCGTCGAGAAAAAAGGCACTAGTTAAATTTTCCCTCTTGATAAGGAATTTTACAGACGGATTGACTAATATGTATGCAAGGGATGACCTGTCCTTTTTATCATAAAGCATGACTCGACTCTACTGTCACTCCAGGAATTGGCCAAGTGAAACCACTTCCTAAAGCGTAGTATAGCGGGTTTGGGTTTAATTATCAACCCGGGTCCTAAATATGATGACTACTCAGTGAATTCTTGTTATCTAGCAATGAAACTGGAATGCAAGTCTAAACTATCAAACTAACAAAGCAAGTAAACGGTTGTATTCAGGTTAAAGAGGTCACCCGGATATGGTTCCCCCTAGACTGCAGTTAAGCCGGATTTTAATTACCAAGTTCAGTTTCTATGATAGTTATACTGCGGAAGGTTCTCAAACAGCCTGAAGTCTCGACTAAAGGTCTTCAGACCCTCCCAATCTGAGTCTCTAGCGGGCGACTAACCTCCACCGGAGTAAACAGATTGAGGCCCTAAGAACAAAACCTCCACTACCGGAGTAAATCCGGTACAGAATAGTGAGTTGGCTCCTCGACTAAAGTCACCAACTCCCTACCTTCAATCAAGGATACTCTATTAACCTAGTCAGATATTCTCATTCTAGGTTAAAGCAGAAACAACAGGAATTTGATCAGGATTCAAGTCATTCAATCAAACAAACCTCAATCGAATATAATCAATCATAGAATCATTACTTGGGTTCATACAATCAAAGCCTAACATACAAATCTAGGGTTCTCCATACCCAGATGAATGGGAGAACTACTCCATAGAGAAGAAAGCAAAAGCAGAATCAGACGCGGAATTCATACTGTGAAGGATGGATTCCTGCTTCTGGACGTTGATCGGCACTTCTCCAAGCTCAAACTGGCCTCCAATGGTGTTGAAGATCAATCTAGGGCGCTTGGAGACTCTTGTTCGTCGCTTTCTCTCTCTAGGAACTGATCTCTCTCTCTAAAACTCGAATTCCCTTGAATTGTGGCTGAAAATCTGCTTAAAAGCATTAGTGGCCAAAGCACGGTCGAGGGCACGGCCGTGCTTTGCCTGACTCCGCCCGTGTCTCGGCCAGGGCTTAATTACACGGCCAGCAAGTGGGTTAAACACGGCCGTGCTTCGCGTTGGACACGACCGTGCTTTGGTGGAACACGGCCGTGCTTCGGTGCCCGTGTTTGCAGCTGAATTGGCCAAACTGAATTTGCTCTCGGCATAAAAAGCACGGCCAGCAGTACACGGCCGTGTAATGCCTTAGGCTGCACGTGTTTTGGCTCCAGCTCACCGAAATGACTTCCGAATGCCCCGAAACTCGCGCTTAGCCTTCCCTTTGACACCTGGGACCTGAAACATGACAAAATAGCACAACCCGGCATAAAATAGGCCACAACACACGACTATGCCCCTCAAACGGATAAGAACTAGGGGCGCAAACATGTGCAATTACATTGTTATCAAAGCACTTGCAGTTGCAATTCATAATCTTTCAGTTACCAGATAGTGAAACAAGGTTAAAGATTTCATGTTAGAACATAGAACACCAAGTGAAGGGATCTTGGCTGTGGCAATTTTATCATTTGGCATTAGAGGCTTCTTTCCGACACAAACCAGTGTTGGCAAACTATGAACTAAACCTGTGAGCAAAGTTAAAATCAGTTCCGGTTGATTTCGTTGAACTAGGTACGCAATTGAGCTCATACTCTCCCAGAATCCAACAAGCTTCATTGGCCATTCAAATGGGATCATGACTTCGCCCGTACCATGCTTGAGGTGAGCCTTTCAGCTACCGGCTAACTCCAGTTGAGATAAGTTTTGTGAAGATTCTTTACAGCTCGATCTCACATTCCAGCTGAGTGCCTTCCCCTTACTGATTCCTTGATTGCGCACACTATATCAGCAGCTCGAGTTGGGAACTTTGTCGCCTGGAAAGTATGCCGATTATGTGATACTCTCCATCGATTCATGGGATGACTTTGCGGCAGAAGGATCTGCTTCGGTTGAGGCAACATACCTTGCTGGTGTGCAGGCCTATCCATAGATATGAGTTCCCACATGTGCTTGCAAGCAAACTGAGCGTATATCATTGTCCTCGTGTTCTCGTAGCAGCAACTTCCGAGCAAAACTGGCTGTGCTCGTTAACTGCCTTAGTTCCTGTTCTTATTTCATAGTATGGGAAGTTCTTATTAGAGAAGTGACTGTATAAAGTATTACAAAACTCGTGCAATGGGTGCGCGTAGCCTAGTACTTGGCGTCCTTCACAAAACCATTTAGCGCAAACCAGCTGCGAGCAATAAGAGAACCTTATTGGTTCAGCTTTCGATTTACCCAAAAAAACCAAACACAAACGAAGCATGAGAGTTGTAAAGCAAAATTCTCTTTCTGCATTACAGAATCTCTAGAAATGAAAAACAATACAAAGTACACAGCTCAGTACTACAATAACCTCTAGGCAGTATTGACTGGCACATACGTTTCAATAACATGTAAGCATCCAACACATTCCAAACTCGGGGTGACCCGTACTACAATAAACTACTTTAGAAGCCAAGAACAAGGATCCATGACAGACAAACAGAGGACAATCTTAAGCATCAGCAATTGTAACTTCCACCTCAACACCCGGCTCAATGGTGATGGAGGTAATCTGCTTCACCACCTCTGGGGAGCTAAACAAGTCGATGATGCGCTTGTGAACACGAAGCTCAAATCTGTCAAAGGTGTTGGTTCCTGAAACGAAACATTCAAATGCAAAATGGAGAAGTCAGTAAAAGACAGAGGTGGTGGCTGTATCAACCCTATTCCCACCACTTGCAACCGATCTTAACCCTCCATTCAAACTAATTCCATTCAGTTGATAGATGGCTAATTTCAATTTTCAAGACATAACACCTAGTAAGTACAGCTGGGCCAAATGAAGACTATTCCAAGAGTAAGATATGACACCACTTGTTGAGATATGAGAACATTGAGGAATCTAATCAGATTATACACCAGTTGGCTCATTTCATCACCCTGATTGACAAATCGAGTCTAGCCCGCCTAAACAAGTTACAGCATCAAAGCCACAACATTACTTCTTGCTGATACAAGAATCTCTAACTCGCAACGAATTCAGTCACAAACTACTTCTTACGCAATAAAGAGATGGTTCTATATCGAAATAAATTCAGCAAGCTGTATCAGTTCCTACACGTACTTACTCGTACCAGGGATTCTAACAGTACTACAGAGGACTCGGTACTTGATTCAAATCCATTCACAAGGAACACATATTCAGAATATGAACGGGGCTAAGTGATCTGCCGATGCTCGAAATGCCGGAAAGATTTTACCTTCACCACAAGGGGACTTCCTGGTGGTGATAAGAAGGGTCTTGGTGGGCATTCTTACGGGTCCCTTAACCCTCAACCTCTTGTCCTTAGCACCGCGAATCAAGTCTCCGCAAACTGCAAATCCGAAAACAACAACAACGATTCAGCGACCAAAACCATAAAACCTTAGTTCACCCATCCCTATAAACAACCGTACAGAGGAACAGAAAGGCAGCTGATGAAGTAAGGAAACGAAGAATCAGAACCTTTCTCCAGGTTCTTCACATTCTTGGAGGACAGTGTGATCCTTATCTTGTGAGTTTGCTCTTGAGGTTCCTCAATCCCAGCCTTTGCAGGCTTAATTGCAGCATAAGTCGCCATTGTCGATATAGCCTGCTGTCAGAAGACACCCAGAACAAGAAAGCATATTAAAATCACATCCAGCACAACTGCAAGGAATCAATACGTCCTTCGAATCTGAAGAACTTCACCTTCGTTAGCTCGGCAAAGCAGGATGCAGCTTCGAGTGGCAGCTTTTCTTTCTGCTAACGATGGAAGACGGAGACGAAGAATTGGGAACCTTATACGTACCTAGGTTAGGGTTTTTCCACGGAGTTTACAAATTTGTGGGCTTCGTTCGCTTAGGCCCGGTTTGTTGGTGTGGGCTCAATAGCCCAGGAGCAGGTTTCACCATTAGTGTTTATACTTTATATTCAAAACCAATAATAGGGTTCCCTTCAGTAGTCTATCCAAGCTGATGCGTAGTAGGAGTACCAGACTACCAGCTGTTAAAGCCGGAGAGGAAGATATGAGCTCATGCATAAGGTAGGGGTGGAAATGTTACCGTAAATCCCAGACTATCAGTATCCCAATACTAAATACCTAAATCCTGAATTTTGAATTACTCCTACAGTCAATCCCAATCTCAATTCCTAAATAATTTCGGTATCCCAATTTCAATCCATAAATATTTCGGTATCTCAATCGGTACTTCGGTATCCCAATCGGTATTATCGAATACGAAATTTATTACCTCTGTAAGTAATAGTTAAATATATAAATTAGATTTGATTGTTTAATTTAGGGCAAATAGACTAAGAAAAGAGTGTTGAGTTTGCCTAGAGCTAGGATATGGATAAGGAGAATAGAGGAGAGGTGACATCTCAAATTCTTGTCATTGGTAATCTTTATTTTGACGAATTTGAGGTTGAGAGACGACTAATACTAGTGTTTGCTTTTTGGTGTTATGAAAATAACAAGAGATTAGATGAGAAACGAGAGTGACTTAAACTGGAAAGTGAAAATTGAGTTGGATGTGGGCTTCTGAGTTGTGAAAGAGAGAGAAATGACTAAAAGTTGTGCGTTATATTTCATTAATTTTTAATTTTCGGTATTTCTCGGTATTTCGGTATATGCCGATCCCAATCCCGTAATCCTGAATACCGAATAGCACTCCAAAATGAATCTCAACCCCAATCCCTAAAAAATAAGTCAGTATTCGGTAATACCCAATAGTGATAAATTATGTACGATATTCGGTATATTCCAAATATCGGTACCAAACTTCCAACCCAACATAGGGTAACGACAACTGAACCAGGAGCAAAGGTTTAAGGGGTCGATTCGAGACTAAGGCTCAATGCTGACGAGTTTTGCGTTGAAACCAAGTACGACTTCAAATGGCATTGTTACATATGCAAGTATTGAACATAGGGGTGGACATTGCTGCGGTTCAAACCGCTCCATCCGCTCCAAATCGCTTATGCGGTTAGTCCAAACCGCATCATTAAGATTGCGGTTTCATTTGCAGTCTAATTCTTAAGCGGTTCGCGGTTTTGCGGTGCGAGTTGACCGAAACCGCGCGGTTGCGGTTCAAAACCGCAAACCGCTAAATTCCTAAGATCACCCACCAATACTCAGCAACGCCCCTCAGTTCTCACCACATAGCGTTGTCGTTCTTTTCCATTTATATCTCTGCTATCGGCCGGCGAGTCGTTGCCACCGTCAGTGCTTTCGCCGGTAAAATCAGACGGCGGGGAAGGTGGCCCTACGCGTGGTGGAGTGACGGAAGGATTAGTCGCCGCACGGCCAAGCTGACGAGGAGTGACGCCGCCGCCAATTCCTTGTTGTGCCATTGGTTGCTGCCCCGCCGCCGGTGGATTCAGGAGCGGCGCGCCGCTCATTGTCGTGATTTGCAATTGCCTGCTCTACTTCTCCGTCCAACGTCACCGCGGATTGATTATATTTGAGTGTCCTCGTTAAAAGTTCCATGCTCTGTATTTGGATTGTGATATACTAATTGAAAGTTTAATTTACCGTGGCATGTTTTTATTGCTGCTGATACAAGGCTTTCACTACTGGTTCTCAGTGTCATGCCTCTTCTTTGTTCTTTCCAACTCCATTGCTCTTTTTTATTCTTTTTCCAACTTCGTAATTGGTGGGAGCACTTTGCGGTCCAACTTGCGGTTGCGGTCTAAACCGCACCAAACCGCTAATCTATGCGGTTAGGTTTAATCGCACCGATTACATTGCGGTCTACCATGCAGTGCGGTCCAATTAATATGCGGCGTTGTGCGGTTTATAACTATACGGTGCGGTTCGAACCGCACCGATGCCCACCCCTAATTGAACATACTTTTTAGTTTACATGAGACCAAAGCAACGCATATAACATCCTGAAACTCGAGCCCCGTAAAGTGGATTTTGTTACAAGAAACCAGCCAATGACAAAAATTAAAGGCAAAATTTGCATTCAATTCATAAAAATTTGTAAGGTCTACTACCCATAATAACCTGTTTGCCACATCCAACACTGTATTACCGCTCAATGTACATATTGGGCAGGAATGAAAGTGCACACGTTTCTCCTCTAATAAACTGAATATCTGTAACAGAAAAGGAGATTCATAGCAGAAACCAAAAAAAAAAAAAAACCATTTCTAAGCGTCAGCATAGGTGACTTCCACCTCGACTCCAGGCTCGATGGTAATTGAGGTGATCTGTTCCACCACTTCTGGGGAGCTGAAGAGGTCGATGATGCGCTTATGAACACGAAGCTCAAATCTGTCGAAGGTGTTGGTACCTGGAAAAAGGAGTACAATGCATATGAAGGTAAGCAACCATTCATCACCATCACCACGTCATTTACCAAGTACCAATTCATCAAACTTTCACCCCTAATCCCCCCCGCATAAAACCAATCTTAATGCACCCCATTTGACCTACATAAATTGGGTTGATGGGTAGATGGTTTGACAAGTTTTGAAAACATAATGCCTAGTAGTACTACTTAGCCAAGTGTGATTTTCCTAAGATTAGGATACTCAAAGCAGTTAGGTATGGAACATTGAGAGATAGTACCAAATCAAACCCAATTGAGGCAGGTAACACAATGGCATTTAACTGATATCCAATGGGATGGTGGGTAGATGGTTTTTCTAAGTGTTCAAAACATAATCCCAGTAGTGCTACTTGGCCAAGAGTGTTTTTTTCCAAGATTGGGAAATTGGAAGCAGTTATGAAGGTACGGAACGGAACATAGTGATGTAGTATCATATCGAGCCCAATTGCAGCAGATACACAATAGCATTTCATCACGGATGCAAGTCAACATCATAAAGTATAGAATCAAGTCAACCACCTAAACAATTTACAACATCAAAGTCACCTGGCACATCTCTCCCTGATATATGGATTTCTATCTCTCAATCAATTCACTGCTCACGACTCTCACGAGGTGAGTGTCGCGATGAACTAAGGTAGCCAATCATGTTATAGAGGACCCAGGACTTGATTCAAAACCCATTTTATAAGGAATACTAAGAATCACAAGGGGTCAAATGAGTTTACCTTCACCACAAGGAGACTTCCTGGTTGTAATCAGAAGAGTCTTGGTGGGCATTCTCACTGGTCCCTTAACCCTCAACCTCTTGTCCTTAGCACCGCGAATTAAGTCCCCGCAAACTGCAAATCAAAGCCAATAATAATTCAGAAACTCAAAACCACAATCCCTTAATTTACCCTAAACCGGCGAGATGCAGAATAAAATAGGCGAACTAACCTTTTTCGAGGTTCTTCACATTCTTGGATGAGAGAGTGATCCTGATATTGTGGGTTTGCTCCTGCGGCTCCTCCAATCCAGCCTTTGCCGGCTTAATCGCTGCATAGGTCGCCATTTTCGTCGCTCTGCGTAGCGACAACAAAACAACACAACAAATAAGCATCCAACACGAAACCATATGATGTACGAGCAGGCTGCTGGGGGAAGCGAGGGGGAGTTCGTTGCTACTTACAAGTTGCAAATGCTCGAGAAGGTTGATTCTCGCAGAAGCACAATTAAGAGACGGGAAGAGACCTTCAATCGCCTAAGCAGTGTGCAACAATGGAGAAAACGCCGTTAAAAGCAGGATTCGGAAATATATAACCTAGGGTTTTGTGGAGCGAAGTGGAGTGTGCACCGAACTGGGCTGAACTTTGTTTAATTTAATAAATACCAGAGCCCATTTAAGGTATTATTATTATTGGGCTCGAAAGAATGCTAGCAGTATAAACACGGTTTTTATTTATGGGAGTGGGATGGGTGGAGAGTGAAGCTAAGAATGCATCCAATCCAATTTGTTTGTTTCAAAAGTGAATTTCACACTCATTCTACTCAAATTCCATCAATACTAGATTTTACCCGTTTGACCGAGCTGGACAGAGTTAGAAACTCATGAAATGCGGTTTTAATTGCAATCCTAGAAGTATGGTTTGCGGAAGATTATCTTTGAAACCGAATAGCCTCCCTCTTGTACAAAAAATTTAAGAGGAGTAGAAGGATATTTGTCAAGCTTGACATGGTATGTTCGAATATCAAACGGGAGGGAAAATGGCAGCATTCAAGCCATCTGGGAAATATGGCTGCTCTTCTTATGATTGGATTGGATGAAGAAGACATTTGAAATTCGGGTTGCTAGTTGAATTCGTTTAATGTAATCGTTAAGTTGGTTATCAGTTAACTATTAAATATTCGTGTTAATCAGTAATCATATCGTTTATATTAGTCGGATGACGGTAATCGTGTAGTCGGTTATCAATTATTTTGTTTGTTAACCCAATAACGGTTAAATAAGTGATTCGACAAGGTGAGTCCAATATAATCGATCGGTAACCTACCAACCAAAAACCTCATTTTTTCAATTGTGCATTTGTTTAGATTTTTTCTTACATATGTATGTGTTTTTCTTTTTAAGTTTTTATAATTGAATAAAAATAATTTAACTTAGATATCAATCTATAATCAACCCAATCCAATACAAGTTCACAATAAGACCATTATTCTATCCATTGAATTTGATTTAGAAAGCAGACAAAAATAAAAGTCCCAACAACAATTACTCAACTCATAAACCCCCACTAAATTAAATGGAAGCTTAAATATTGTTGTTTGTTGTCCAGCTATTGTGCGGTCCATCTTTCTATTGTGCTCCTTTTATAACCCTTCCTAGAATTTATTCTCACTTGAACCTAAGATACTACTATTACAACTAGGCGAGACAAGAAATCTTGTAGGCCTTTAAACATCTCATTATTTGTTACCTGTACTTGCGACTTATCGAGATCCATTATTTTTCGGCCTGACTGTCAGCGGCGGATCGAGGATATAGTAGAGCACTGGGCCGCATTTCATTAGAAAACTAGATACCGTAAAAAAATATAGTTTTTTTTTTGCAATATCCTTACTCTGTTTCTAGGGTGTTGGACTCATTGCGACAAAAAGATGCTGAGATCAATTGGTATAAGTTGGTTTGGGACAAGCATATTATTCCTAGACATGGGTTTATTTTGTGGCTGGTGATTAATGATAAGCTTAAGCTACAAGATAAGCTAATTGCTTGGGGAAAGCCACTCACTGGGGGATGTTTGCTGTGCCCTGGGGGAGTGGAGTCTCGGAATCACTTATTTGTGGATTGCTCTTATATACAACATTTATATAGCAAGACACTGGGACTGGCAGCACCACCAGTGTGTGGTAACTGGGACAATCTCCTGAATTGGTGTGTTTTGAAGTGGAGTAAGGACTCCCCTGAGAATTACCTAAACAAAATGTGTTGGAGTGTTCTTATAAGTTTGGTGTGGCGTGAGCGGTGTGCGAGGTTGTATGGATCGGTTGCAGCAAGGGATCCTCAGCAGCTCCTACTTGTTGCAGGAGGGTGATTAGGGGGCGATGTCTTATGAACCAATGCTTGATTGACTGCTTTGTAGCTAGGGGGCTTGGGGTAGATAGCTGATTTTTGTTTGACTGCTTTGTAGCCAGGGGGCTTGGGGTAGTTAGTTGATTTTTGTTCTTAGTGTTTTGCCCTTTGTGGGATTGATGTACAGGACTGTGAGTTTGTGAGGGCTCCATAGCGCTATGCTATTGGTGTCGGTTCTTAATGCATTTTGATTTAACCATAAAAAAAAATATCAATTGTACACGTCGATCTTTTAATATAGCGAATTCATCAGTAATGAAGTCTACATCCATACCAATACCATACTACTTTCCTTCAAATAAAATAGTTAACCAATCAACGAGAAATTCATTGCTTATTTTGTTGCGCAAATCATATTTCACATGTTCAATTGTTGATAAGGTTTTCTCCATAGTAGATGTTGAAACGGGCAATGTCAACACTAGACAAATCAATCGACTGATCAATTTGTATTGTGTGTTGATCCCTATTTCCACCAGCTGCTCTAGTAATTTTTCAAGTGAACAAACTTCATAGTTCTTTTAGTCTTTTATCGTTTTATACTTTCTAAATTTTAGGTTGCATTGTTTGTTTTTCTTTAGAAGAGAATCATTGGAGCTAGAATTTCTAGGCTAAATTTAGAGTTGTGATTTGAAAATGTTCATCTAACCCATTTTGTCAATTACACACAATCTAATTATCAAAATAACCCTAAAACGAATGACTAAAATCGATAAACTCATAAGGACTATATTACCTCCGGATCCAGAAGAGGACTGGGCCGTGGCCCGGGGTGGCCACCTCCTGAATCCGCCACTGTTGACTGTGAGGATGGTCGTAATTGGTTAGTCGGTTAACCGTTTAACTGTCAATTACTATATGTTTAACCATAGGTTATTAATAACTAAATTTTACTACCGGTAACCGATTGTTTACTATGAGACGAAAGAACATGTCCATCAGACTAGGGAAGACAACAGCATGGCAAACGATTGGTGGTTATGAGTATGCATGACAACTCATTTGATAGCTCTCAGTAATGTTAAATGGGATTATGGGATGACCAAGAATTTTGAGTGTCTTTTTTTTAATTGGCCAGCTAAGCCTAGATTATGTAATCAGTAATTGCATTATGAGAATGCATAATTTTCCAGTGTACAGCAGACTTTGCGCAGGGAAGTGCCTACGCTAAATGCAGTCAACACTGTAATTATGATGCCATCTTACATATGATATATGTAATTGATATATATCACAGAGCCACTAACACTTAATAAAATTATACTAACTTACTATGTATTTGACTGATGACTAGTGTTTGAATACCATAATCTTCTCAATACTTGATTACAAATGGCCAGCACCAGGGCTCGGCACAGAGTGCAGAATCCTATCAAGCTTTCTGAGATGAGAGTTGATCATCGACTTCCTATAAGTTTGCTTGATGTAACAAGGTAAAGCAAGTGTGCCTTTCTTCTTCTCATCCATGGCTGCCAGCATCCTGGCATTTGAACAGGGGGAATGGCTGGCTATCAGAACCAGAACCAGGATGAAGATGATGACACGGCTTTTACAGTTCATTTTCACAGAAATGGTGTTGTTTACATGAGTATTAATAACTAAGCTGGTGAATTAGTGAGACCAAATGACAGGGCCAGCTATTTATACAAGTTGGGGAAGGCATAAATGGAGGTGGGAGAGACAAATGAGCTTTGACTTCAATAATTTAATCAACAGTTTTTTTTCAGATATTGACAGTGAATAGTCAAGACCTTACTATACTAAACTGTATTTGTCTACATTCTCACCATCATCTTTCTCCAGTTGGCAAGAGTCTCATCATCAAAATCAGTTCTTTTACCGCAAACAGAGCATAGTGAGAGCGACCCATAATGGAAAATGAGGACTCCTTTGAGGAAATGAACACCCAAACCTTTCCCTTCCTTCTTCTCACAGTATGACAATACTGACAGTTACAACGATGGAACAAAACAACAAAACAAGTAACATGCTTTATGAGGAGGAAACCTGGTGGCAGGGGAATTGGGTTAGGTGCCATCCAACTAAGATCTCCCCATCTTCACCTTTTGCTAGGAATTTCCTCAAGCTTGTGAGAATCCCACCGACACAAGTCATGGACACTAAAGAACCACTCAACCAGCTAGGTGGCCATGTTTCTTCTTCTTCTTTCCACACTCTGATGGGGTCCAAGTTACAGTTGCAGAGGTAGTTATTACTTAATGAAGTGTGATTCCTCCTACAAAATTCCACGGTTGAACAGTAGGGAGTGACAGACATGAATCACTGGAACAGGACAGGGTGAAACTAAGAACCAACACTTTCTGCACATTTTGGCAATCTGAATGTGACAGAGGGTAGCCTGCACAATCCCAGAAATACGACTATTTTTCTCATGCATTCATAACAAACTGAAGGTGACAGAGTGTGATATACTCCCTTTTTACTGTTGATGTCAAAACCTAATGAACTATCTTAGACATATGTTCAGAAGTAACAATCTCACCATAAAAAACTCACAAGCTGCAAAGGGTCGATATTACAATTGAATAACATGCTGGCATTATCACAATCTCAATTCTCAAGGCTCCATTGATAACAAAAGACATTCGCATTCTCATAGCAGAAGAACACCAAGCATATGATTCAGTAAAGCAAAAACACACTTGCCAGCCCTCCTCAAACAAAATGAAACTACAACTTGCAAAAACCCAAATTTAAATGTCATTCATGAATCACGACTTCAGAAAATGGAGCAGAAGATCAGAAAAGTAGGCGCCTTTCCGCTTGTTCATTCATTGCAAATTCAAGAATTAGCTAATAGGAGAGCTCAGCACCATATTGGGGATCATCTCAATCTCCTCTAATCCAAATGTACTATTTATATTCAGCTTGACAACTAAATGAAAACGAATGTAACAATCGAATGCTCACTACTTCTTGAGTATTTTGGAGAGAGAGATTCAAAACGAACCCAAACAAATCAATTATACAGATTTCACTTCCATCCCCTCAAAATATATGTATATATGTAAAATTCAATTACCATAGCCCATGAGACCTTCCTGATCTCGCTCTTCTTCTTCTTCTTTGCAGCAGAATCATCAATTTACAAAGAACTCTTCAAAGCTCCGTCGGAGTGATAGTAATCCAAGTACCATTTCA